GGCTGCTTCAGCCGAGGCACAGAGGCGGTGGCCGCAGCGCGTCTGCCCAGGCGGGACGAGGCGCTTGGGAGCGGCGCTGGCAGCTGCCACGTGGGCGCCCGGCTCAGGATCGAGGGCGCTCGGCTCCTGCTCTCCTCAGATCGCCCCGAGGGAGGGAAAGCGAGGGGGTGGCAGTGTCCCTGTGCAGCGCCGGGACCTTGACAACGAGGCCGCCCGCCCAGGCCCAGGACGTGCCCGCAGGGAGCCGGGCCCGGGCCGCCCCCTGCCCCTGGGCGCTGCGACAAGCGCAGGCCGCCTCCTCCAGGCAAGCCGCGGGGAGAAACGCCAGCGTGAGCCTCAGCGGAGCACCCAGCCTCGGGCCACGCGGGAGGCCAAGTTCGCGGGACCCGAGCCGTCCACTGCCCCGCACTTCGGGGTCTGCGGGTCCCGCAACATGCCCGCCCGCTTTCTACCCAGATTTCCGCCCGCAGGTGAATTGTACCTGTGGTTCGGGCGGCTTCTGAACAGCACCGTTCAGAAAGGAAGTGGCAATGAGTTGTACAGCACTTTCACCTGCCAGTGGCTCTCCCACCCCTTGAAATAAATGAATTCCCTTGAGATGAGGAGCATCCAGCGCGGCCCCCGGGCGGTCCGCTCCCTTGCGCCGCAGGCGCTGCCCTCCGCACCCGCCGCCGGGCAACGATCATTTCTGTACAAATAATTAGCGTTCCGGCTCGGGCCGTGTCTCTCTCCTGAAATGTATTCTTAATGAAGCGGTGCTCAGAGCTGCCATGAAAAATGCAGGGCTGGGAGATCAAAGTACAATATTTATTTTAGAAATTTGTTTCACTTATCGGGAGATACAGGTAGCAAGGCCAAATGTCAACTCCGTTACACAAAGCCCCATTTTCCGGAGAAACGAGCTGCTGCTACATCCTAATGTAAAGTAAAGAGACATCAAAGATCAGGGACAATGCGGGAAGCAGGCTGAGAAGAGGCGGCGCGCACGGGATCCCGGCGGCGGAGAGAGGGCGAAGGTGGGAGGGGCAGGGGCAATTCCAGCAGTTGTCATCTGCGCTACAAAGCTCGCGAGCAAACAGCAGCGGAGGGAGGCTTTTGGGTTTTTTCTCCCTTCTTTTGGCCACAAAGATGAAATGTGAAACTTGGACACGAGCCCGCGATCCCTCTCGCAAGCACTAGGCTGGCTCGGAAGCAGCGGGGCTAAGGCCGGGCTCAGCCGGGAGGTCCCCGGGCGCGGGAGCGCCGCCGCCGCGGCAGCCGAGGGGCCTCCGGGACGGGTCTCTGTGGCTTCACGCGTCGTCCCAAGGCGACCTGCGGAAGAGAGGAGAGGG